ACACATACACACACACACACACACATACACACACACACACACACACACACAATACAAGTATATAATAAACAAAAATTCTGTGTGTCTCCTGGGGGCTAAGCCCCCCTTGTCCTTAAAACCTAGTGACACCCCTGCTGACTTCACTCCCCTCCTGCTTTTTGTTGGATTTGTTTCGTTTACGTCGAGGGCAGACCCGCGTTTTCCACCGTTACTTGTGACATGATGTGCAGATCGATACTGAAATATCAGAACTTTATGTTTTATCGATACTAAAATGAAAATATCGATCCTTTCTTTAGTTATTTTCTGGTTAATGATATATTTTCTGTGAAATAACTAAACTATTCAAATCTTGTCTGAATCACGTGTTTGGAGGGAACTACTTTTTCTTCCGCTTGGGTAATTTAAGCTCAGTGACACGTCAGTCAGTCAGTCTGTAGAAGTACGGCAGGTCATTTTAACATAAAATCTGCTCCGTCTGACTGTCTGTAATTAAATTATAAATGAGGGGTTCCCAAACGTTTTCATGCCACGGCCCCCCCAAACAGCCTTAGCTCTGGACAGGTACCTTCCTGCAAACACACAAACAATTGAAAACATACAAAGTAACAACTTTTAAAACATTTTATTTTCTTTTTATTCACCATTCAAAAATTTTTATATTTCTTTAGAACAAGAATTTCAGATTGTGCTAAACAAATATAGGGTTAGAAAGTGTTTTAAATTAACAAATAAATTAACTAAGTCATGCATTTATAAAGCGGTCATTTGAAAAACGATACTTTTTAAAATTTACCAGACACATGATTGTAATCAGGAAGTATCAGTATCAGATGTTACTGATTTCAGCCACACTTGGTATCACTACTGGGAATAAAGCTGTCGGTTTGAATCCCGACTTTATGATGAGCACCTTCACCTCCTGCTGGAGATCAGCCACTAAAAACACACAAACAGCTGTTTGCACTTGTTTCCACTTGAATTCCTGTTTTTTTTCCTCCTCTGTAAAAAAAAAGTCATGTTTGGAGTGTGAGCAAATGCATTTTGACTTAAAAAAAACTAATTTATTTAAGAAGCACTTAAAGAGTTTGAGGCTAAGGGAAGATTTAATGTGTGTAAATGTACAGGAAGTTGTATTTTATATCATATTCAGATATAGAGATGAATTAAAAACGTCGAAGCTTTTTTCATGTCTTCAAACTGGGGATTTTATGTCAGATATATTTCAGAGTGCATGTAATAATAAATATGATTTAAGATGCAGTCTACGCTGTAAATATTTCTTTCGTTTGTAATACAAAGTGTAATATTTTGTGTCCGTGGGGAATAGTTTCAGTGTTTCTCCCTTTTTGCGGAGATTTGATAGTTTATCTAATCACGTCGAATGCATTGACAATAAAATAGATTTATTTTCATCTGTGGCTTTTCTGGCTTTTATTTTTCATTTTTGCACAAAATAACAGACTTTTAAATATTTACAATTTTGTCATCCAACAGCTCTGTGTTTGAGTTTATAAACACAGATCTGCAGGTTTTATTA